AACAATTGGTGAGGATAACAACAAACAAATAAACATAATAGAGAATTAACGAAACTACTGTACAAAAAACAGCATTGATTATAAGTATGAACATAGCGAAAGTATAAGAATTAGATGTTAGATTGTGTGTTAAGGAATAAGATGTTAGTTACTTATTTAGTTAATTAATTCATAGAAAGCTTAATTTTATTCTACGTCGTTTTAATGTATTTCAATGGCCGAGCTTCGACGTTCATGTTATATGTATCATGTTCGTAATTTATTTATCATCAGTAGATTCTTAGTGTGCTAAGTAATAAAATCAATTTACTGTTTCACAACTCTCCTGAGTCCTAATTGACTTTTGTGGTGTGAAAGGAAATTACTGATCCCGGGTGGGCGGAAATGTTTAAGGAGCAGGATGAATCATTAGAGGATGCACCTTTTCATTGGCTTCACGACATTATTTTCGATGAATGTAAGGGAAATGTGGGATTTTTTTATTGGCCACCGAAAATACCAAATATGTTACCGATCTTGCAAAGAAGAAGGATGGTACTGTAGAGGGTGTGTGATTTCATACCCAGCAAAGGTTCTGGGTGGAAACCACGATTCTTACGAAATAGCATGATAAATATCTACCTAAGGGTTGGACCGGGAGTATCTGGACAGGTTTGATAGCAACTCGAAGCCTGGTATGTAGTAAAAAAGACAACTTTCCTTAAGTTCTCACAGTTTTCGATTTGAGTAAAAGAAATTCATAATTACAGCTACCAAGCTAACCTAAATAGTAAACTGGACCTCAGTAATAAGAGGACCTTACATTACAATTAGCATTACAATTTGCATTACAATTAGGGGAGCTAACTGGAACAAAAATCTCAGGATTTAGGAAATAATTTTGGTGGATAACCGTCCCATTTTGAATATACGCCAAAGTAATCCTTTTGAATTAATAAAGCAATAACAATTTAGCAATAAAAAGTAATTGTGACGAGTTAAAACAATTCTTAAAAGGACTGGTGTAACCAATGAACCACTGACTTAATCTCGTTGCCGACTTTTGATTCCTACAACAGAGGAAATTACCGTCCACTGCAAAGTCAGAAATCCTTCGTAGGTCTCACGAACAAACACAATTGTATTTTCTGAGAATATTTTTTGCACAAAAACGAAAATCTAATATTATGCTAACGTTTTTGAAATGTTGTGTTTAACCAAAGCAGCACAGAACACAGGAGATCGTACGATGTAAATGTAAACTATTTAAGAGCGGTTCCAGTTTGGACTGCGGTGGTGAGCCTAATGCTCTCTCGTTAGTGTTAATGTGTGTCATTATACAACATTGTTTCTCGTCCAATTGTACTTGGAGGAGTACTGATAATTTATGGCCATGTAAAACAGACGTAGACGTATTATGTAAATGTAAAAACATCTTTAACAGTTTTAGTTCTGACTTCGTTGACCAGCTAATGGTCTTTAGTGTAAACTACATTTTAAGGGCTTGGTACAATACACAAACGCCCAACCTAAGTTGGAACATGGCGTTTGTGTATTGTTAGTTGTAATGTGTTAGTTAAGTTTTTTCACCTGAGGATGGGATCAGATTCCAGATCCCGAAACGTTGTGTATTGTTTTTTACAATCGTGATGGAAAATGTCCGCAATAAACCTTTGAACAACATTAACTCACCATCACCAACAATGAACTTCAAACAAACAAATAAAAAATTGTTTCAGATAATTCCCGATTAACATCCAAATAATTGTTACCTGAGGAAATAGCTACGTTAGGTATGTAGACTAGACATTTTTACGGCTTGTAGAGTTTTTCACTAAGGAATTTGCTATTTGCTAAATGTCAAGGAAAATATTGTTTACTTTAAAAATGCATTGCAACTGTCAATTTGAAATCCAACAGGGCCATTTTTTTAAGTATTCAATGTCTTAGTTTAGGTAAACTATATAATTTAGGTTAAGCCAATTGATATTTATTAATCTTTCAATGATGTAACAAAGTTGTTTTAAATATTTTTTGATAATTTGAAATTTTTTATATACAGTATAGGTAAATAATTTCACAATTCAAATCTCTCTTTCTCTAAACATGTATACATTAGAAAAATCAAACACTTGTAACACTCTGATTTTTATTTAAAATACACATATTGAACTTCAGTAGATTGAGTAGATGAGTAAGGAACAATAATTTGCAACAATTAACTTGCATTCAAACCCTAATTTATGGCTTTTGAGAACATTTTTGTATTACATTGTTTACACACTCTTCGTTTTTTTATTTTTATTTTAAGATGTATTAGCTATTACATTATACTTATATTATTCATTCTATATTATTACCAACAATTATTATTACACAACACAATTATTATTATCATTAGATAAAACTCAACCGCCAATGAAGAATACTACTCCAACCTCCCAACAGACCATGAAACTTAATGCGTTCCTGACACCAACCCGATTTACCAAGATAATACCCCACGAGAACGATGAACTCAAGTCCATGTGTGATGTGAGGTTGAGCTTCCTCCAAGTGGACGATGGAACAACCGATAGAATGACATTGTACCAGTTGAACAGCGTAACCGCTACCTTTGTACAACATGACAATGACACCATGTTGTTGCGTGTTGGATGTTGCAATCGCGACCGGTGTTGGACATTTCCTAGAGCCTTCATTATACCTAAATCACTGCTCGATGGTAGTTAAATTGTTTATTTAACACATAAAAAACCACCGAGGGTTGACAACAAAATGGATTTCCGTGCAAGCTACGTCGAGCAACAGAAAAATAAGCTTAAGCTACCTGCAAAACATCTTACAACTTTTATTTCCGCTTTTTTTCAAAAGTTAGTTTAGATGAAGATGTAATGAAGATACAATGTGCCTTTCCGTAATTTATTCTTATTTTTGTGCTATAAAGCAGCAAGAATAAATTATCGAAAATAAATTTTATTTAAAACTTATGACGGGTTTTAATATGCAATTACGGTTCAATTCTAAAATATATTTAAAAATTACATTTAAATCCTGTATTCCGTCCTGTTATGTCGTAACAAATTATCAGCTCTCCTCCAAGTACAATTGGACGAGAAACAATGTTGTATAATGACACACATTAACACTAACGAGAGAGCATTAGGCTCACCACCGCAGTCCAAACTGGAACCGCTCTTAAATAGTTTACAGTTACATAGTACTATTCTGAGCGCTCTATGCAGCTGTGGTTAGAATAACTTATTAAAATAGTATAATATTAAAATATACAGGGTGTTGAAAATGTCTGGAACCAACATTATATCTGGTGAGTGGTTAAAGAAAAACAACTGATATTTTGTGTACGGATATACTATGGTTTTACCTATCTTTTGGTGCCTTATGAAATTTTTTACCACTTATAGGGAACGTCCTGTGGAGGATGCAGTAAAAAGTTTTAATGGAAGCCTATGGTAAATGATACATCATTTTAAAGGCCATTTTTTTCTTAGTAAGGAGCCACAAGTTTCATCTCAAAAGGACCACCCTAGCAAAAATGGCAACTGTTTGAAATTTAAAAAACCCACTTACAGGGAACGTCCTGTGGAGGATGCAGTAAAAAGTTTTAATGGAAGGCTATGGTAAATGATACATCATTTGAAAGGCCACTTTTTTCTGAGTAAGGGGAGCACTTGAATGGCCTCCAAGATCTCCTGATTTGTCCCCACTAGACTATTTCTTTTGGGGGCATTTGAAAGATAATGTTTACAAAACACAACCACTTAGATGATCTGAGGCAGCGAATTATGGAAGAAACACGCAAAACTTCTGAAGAAGCTTTTCACAATGCTGTATCAGATTTCTACACTCGAAGTGCACATTGTCAGACTGTGGAAGGAAAACATTTTGAACATTTGCTATAATTTTGTATAAACACTTGGAACTTGAATTTCCATACTTCATTTACAAATCTGTAAGTCATTGTTTTATTTATCTGTTTTCTACATAAAAATTTAATTGTTAGAATTTTAAATCTTATTCAACACTTTAAAAGTCATTTTTCAGTTCACCACGTGATAAACTACTGTACTTCGTAAATGGCTTGTAATAGCATTTAAAGGAAACAAATCTGGACCATTTAAATAGCAATGTTTTTTTTTTTTTAATTTCAAACAGTCGCCATTTTTGCTAGGGTGGTCCTTTTGAGATGAAACTTGTGGCTCCTTACTAAGAAAAAAATGGCCTTTAAAATTATGTATCATTTACCATAGGCTTCCATTAAAACTTTTTACTGCATCCTCCACAGGACGTTCCCTATAAGTGGTAAAAAATTTCATAAGGCACCAAAAGATAGGTAAAACCATAGTATATCCGTACACAAAATATCAGTTGTTTTTCTTTAACCACTCACCAGATATAATGTTGGTTCCAGACATTTTCAACACCCTGTATATAACACTATTAAAAAAATACAGTTAATTGTGTTTGTTTAGTAAAAAAGTGCATTGAGTTTAACTTAAATTTCGTTTAAATAAGTCTATCTAAAATAATTCATTATTTGACATTGCATACAAATGATTAGTCAAAAAATTTCTTAACCCTTTCTGCTCGTATGTCGCGGTGGCCGCGACATCCATTTTTGACGCTTCCGCTCGAATGTCGCGGCTGCCGCGACATTGTTTTAAACGACTCTAAACTCATTTGATATAGTGCAGAAGTGTTTAAAATGATAAGAAAGACTGATCAATGGTTTTCTCAATTTATTTTAGCTGCCCTTGGATCAAAGAAAACAACCACGAACGATTTAGTTGGCTTTGAAATAAGTTTGGTTCGTTTCGTGTTTGTTTACTTGAACGTCTGCTTCTGCTAGTTTATATTCTTTGTTCGCAGCGACTGTTATCGCGATTTTTATATTATATTTTACTTGTTTTGGGTAACTATTGTTTAGTAAACATTTTTCAGTGGTTAATTACCGATAATTTAGCAAAGTGAACGGGTAATTATGTTTATTTCACGTTAAAATGGATGACGAACTTTCTTTGTCAGACTCCTTGATCAGTAAATTATTTGAAAGAGGTTTGACTTCTGATGAAGAATCCGATTTAGATTGTGCTCCGGACTTAGATAATGAGGAAATATTGTTATTTGATGACAGTGACTTAGAAGAACTTGGTGATTTGGCCCATGATGTAAACTTTGGAGTTTTAGTAGGAGATTCTAAAAGCCCAGCAAAAGCTGAAACTGTAAGTAGGCCTAAGCCTAACCTTCATAGGTCTAGTTTTCTACAAGACACCTGCCCTTCAACAAGTCGTAATTTATTTGTTGACTCTGATGACTTGCCTATCTCTGGTGCTCTATTACAAAGCCCAGATGAAACTTTACCTGTAAGTAGCCTACATGAGCCTAATGTTCATCAAGAAATCGAACCCTCAACTAGTAGGGATTTATTTGTCAGTCCAGTTATTGATGAATTACTTCCTGTAGTAGCGGTACCGGTACCACCAAAGCGTAGCCGAGGTAGGCCCAAAAACATATGCAGTTCTAAAACTCCAATTTATTCAAGAAAAATGCCTACGCCTACGAAAAAGAGTCCAAGAAGCTCACAGCCTAAGCAACCGAAGAAACAGCCTTCCAGTGAAGACAAAAACTATAAACCTTACTTAGATTCTGACCCAGATTTTGATACTTTTCCCTATACTCTATTGTCAGGGTACAAGGCCCCATTGGGGCCACAACAACCTCAAACCCCTTTGGATTTTTTTCAATTATTTCATACTGGGGAGTTGATAGATCATATTGTAAAAGAAACAAATACATATGCATACGAGCACATTTCAATGGCTACCCCCTTGCAGAAAAGATCTATTTGGTCAAACTGGAAAGATTTAACTGCAGATGAGTTCAAAGCTTTTTTAGGCATTGTGATTAATATGGGTCAATCCTAAACCTAATTTACAGGATTATTTCTCTCATGAATGGCATAAAAAACAACCCTTTTTTACGGATGTCTTCTCCCGTGATCGTTTTTTTTCAAATTTTTTGGTGTCTGCACGTGTCTAGTAAAACTCCAGCTGGCGTTCGCCCATCAAGAGGATCTAAGATTAGCCATTTAATGACATATTTACAGGCTAAATTTTGTGAATACTTTGTTCCACCCTATGAGCTCTCTATGGACGAAAGCACTGTTTCCTTCAAAGGGAAAGTCCATTATAAACAGTACAATCCTAAAAAGCCTATAAAGTGGGGCATGAAAGTATTTGTTATATCCGATTCAAGAACAGGCTATGTTTATACTTTTGAACCTTACTATGGTGCTACAACCACGGCTATTTTGCCTTTCCCTGAACATCAGTTCACCATGCGGATTGTGATGCTTTTGGCGGAGCGAGTCAGAAATCAGTGTGGGTTTGAGTGCGGGTTCCACATTTATACTGACAGACTATACACCAGCTTGGCCTTAGCTCAGGAGCTCGCCAAAATAAGAATACACCTAACTGGTACGGTCCTAGGGAATCGACAAGGAAACCCATCTTCTTTTCAAAAGAAAAATATGAAGTCAAACAAGATGCAGATACATGAAGTGCGTGCCTTTCGACACAAGGATAACGTTTTGGTATTGGCATGGAGGGACCAGAGGGACGTTACCATGCTTAGTACTGTGCATAACCCTTCAGTAGTGGAGATAGTGAGGAATAAAAAAGGAAGCACAGAAAAAGAGAAAGTTTTGAAACCCACAGTCATTATGGACTACAATGAACGAATGGGTGGGGTTGATGCATCTGATCACTATATATCGTCGTATATGTTTGTCCGCAAGTCCAAAAAATGGTGGAGAAAAATGTTTTTCTGGTTACTGGAAGTAAGTGTAGTAAACAGTTTTTTACTATACAACATGTATCAACAAAACATTGGAAACAAGTGTTGTGAATCAAAGAAGTTCAGGGAGATGCTGTTGTTACAACTTGTTGGGGACTTCCGCAATTCTAGTGGTAAAAGACGTGGTAGGCCTTCCACAAGCGACAAAGAAGAGAGGCTTAACCAAAAGCCCCACTTCATTGCAAGTTTTCCTGGAATGAATCAGAAAAAGGACTGTGCTGTATGCAGCAACCGGAAAGTTCCTGGTCAAAGGAGGGAAACTCACTTCTTCTGTGAGACGTGTGAACGCAAACCTGGCTTCACCCTGGTGAATGCTTCAAGCGGTACCATACCCTCAAAGACTACAAACCCTAGGTAGGTCAATAATTTAAGTAGGCCTATCTAAATATTAGTAATCTAGAATAACCTCAAGGTTCCAAATCAGAAATAATAGATATATTTGATAATTCAGCGTTTTTTTATATTTTTTGTTATATGTCGCTAATGAAAATTTATATTTTTGGTTTAGTATAACAATTTCGGTGTATTTATATTTTCGGTTTATATGAATAAATAGGCCTACAGATAAATACTGTTTATCTCAGTTTACTAATCCTGTTTGAAAATTACAGGCAAAAGAACTAAGAAACAGAAGTCGCCGTGGAAACCAAAAATTCCAAAAACTCAAATTTTAGAAATTTACATATTTTATTCATAATAACACAAGTAAATGTTTATGTCATTGATATTTTTTGTTTGTTTTTACATACGCAGATTTTCGGCGTCAACCCCGTCATCAGTTTTAGATCACCACCAGACGTTTCGTCCTTACTGTGGTCCACTGGTATACCTGAATTAACCCCCCTGATTTAGTCTCAGCCTAGCCACTAAAGATGCCACTTCACCGTAAGGGCGAAAGGTCTAGCAGTGATCTACAACTGATGACGCGGTTGACGCAAAAACTATCACCATGGATTGTTGTGAACATGTTCCTTTCCTTTTTAGACTTAAAGATACTTTTTTATTGAAATTGATACCATTATGGATTTTTCTTCGTTACTTAAAAGTTTTAAATAATGATAGTTGTATTGCATCGAAAAAGTTTAATTTACCATTTTCATACATGACATAGGCTTGATGTTTTGAACAATTGTTAGTCTGAGACTTAAAACAAAATTAACCAAAAAAGTAGTTCAAAATCTGAAGCCTCTCACAATCGTAATCTAGTCCATCCTGAGCCAATCATGTATTAATTATTTTATTAAAACGCAAAATACTTATTTAGTATTATAACAGTAAAAAACCTGCATAGTGAAAGCCGAAGGAATGTTCCACCTTTGAAACAAGAGGAAAGCAGTAAAAGACGAGAAGTAACAAACGAAATGTTAACGGGAAAGTTTTCAGTTAACCACTTACGTTATGGATTCAGGTCCCAAGCCGGACATCGACTTTCAAATTGGATCTGTCAAAAGTAGAGCGGCGCAGCGGGACATGAAATATTAAACTGCGCGGGACAATCCTTGGGGAGAGCTTCGGAGAGCTTTTACCTCCCCCGACTGCTACTTACCACCAAACATATTCTCCAAAGCCACTTTGTTCTCACCCTTTTAGTGTGTTTCCATTTCGAAGATATCAAAGTTCTTGTTTCCAGGTCCGGGCACTGACAAACCTACGAGGCATGATGAGTGTCATCAAGTAGACAGATATTACTCGTACAAGTTCAAGCCATATTATTAAATAATCATTTACAACTCATTAGTTGTGTATATATAAGTTATACTCGTACTATCAATTTAACTGTACTATGTCTTCAGAAATATATTTAGTAACCCTTGAGAAATGTATATCAATTTGTCAATATTTACTTGCGTTTGTAATCAATTTAAATAAATTAATTACCAGCTAACTACATACGTAACAATTTTATTATTTTACATGTAGGCGTTTTCAGAGTACTATATCATACGAAGAGAAAATCGTCGGCTAAGCCAAACTGTCCTGATATATTTGTTCAATTACCAAGTATAATTTAGATTGACACGATGAATTAGTTGAATTGCAGTACTTTCAAATATTATGGCCAACTGTAATCCTTTAAATATAAATTGAATATGACAAAGCAAACAAGAACGTTCCAAAAATTTATGTTCTTATGGTTAAGATAAAGTTTTAGAAAAAAGGTCACAAGCTTATGTGGTAAAATGCATTTTTTTCACCTAAGAAAAAGGCAATCAGATTAACATGAGTTAAAAAATGTAAACATTTTTCGAGTTTATTCACGGTATACATTTGAAAATTTACAAAGTTTTCCAACCAAATTAAATGTTATTAAAATAAATAATACGTGGAAATTAACAGTCGCTCTTTCCCAACAGCAAGCGATGACGTATACATCAATAATGTACAATATTAGAAACGTGTATAAAAGACAGTCCCCGGTATGGGGCGTCCAAGTGATAAACAAGTTTAATATGACGGCCAATATCGCCCGATATGAGAGAAGCACAACACATGTTCTCCCTTCAATTAGCGAACAGGCAAACATGGCTCCTGCCTCGCCGTCTGTCTGGCGTGTTACTGATGATATGATGAGACATCAGTGTGTCAGCCATCATGACTACTGCCTCGCCGTCTGATTGGCGTGTTACTGATGATATGATGAGGCATCAGTGTGTCAGCCATCATGACTACTGCCTCGCCGTCTGTCTGGCGTGTTACTGATGATATGATGAGGCATCAGTGTGTCAGCCATCATGACTACTGCCTCGCCGTCTGTCTGGCGTGTTACTGATGATATGATGAGATATCAGTGTGTCAGCCATCATGACTACTGCCTCATCATGTCTGGCGTGTTACTGATGATATGATGAGGCATCAGTGTGTCAGCCATCATGACTACTGCCTCGCCGTCTGTCTGGCGTGTTACTGATGATATGATGAGCCATCAGTGTGTCAGCCATCATGACTACTGCCTCATCATGTCTGGCGTGTTACTGATGATATGATGAGGCATCAGTGTGTCAGCCATCATGACTACTGCCTCGCCGTCTGTCTGGCGTGTTACTGATGATATGATGAGCCATCAGTGTGTCAGCCATCATGACTACTGCCTCGCCGTCTGTCTGGCGTGTTACTGATGATATGATGAGATATCAGTGTGTCAGCCATCATGACTACTGCCTCGCCATCTGTCTGGCGTGTTACTGATGATATGATGAGACATCAGTGTGTCAGCCATCATGACTACTGCCTCGCCATCTGTCTGGCGTGTTACTGATGATATGATGAGCCATCAGTGTGTCAGCCATCATGACTACTGCCTCGCCATCTGTCTGGCGTGTTACTGATGATATGTTGAGACATTAGTGTGTCAGCCATCATGACTCCTGCCTCGCCGTCTGTCTGGCGTGTTACTGATGATATAATGAGACATTAGTGTGTCAGCTATCATGACTCCTGCCTCGCCCTCTGTCTAGCGTGTTACTGATGATATGATAAGACATTAGTGTGTCAGCCATCATGACTCCTGCCTCGCCGTCTGTCTGGCGTGTTACTGATGATATAATGAGACATTAGTGTGTCAGCTATCATGACTCCTGCCTCGCCCTCTGTCTAGCGTGTTACTGATGATATGATAAGACATTAGTGTGTCAGCCATCATGACTCCTGCCTCGCCCTCTGTCTAGCGTGTTACTGATGATATGATAAGACATCAGTGTGTCAGCCATCATGACTACTGCCTAGCCGTCTTTCTGGCGTGTTACTGATGATATGATAAGACATTATTGTGTCAGCTATCATGACTACTGCCTCGCCGTCTGTCTGGCGTGTTACTGATGATATGATGAGACATCAGTGTGTAGTCATCATGACTGCCTCGCCTTGTCTGGCGTTTTACTTATGGTATATTCAGGCTTTAATCAGTCAGTCATGATGCCTTCCTAGCTATATGTCTGGCGTATTGCTAATGATAAAATAAGATAAATTTAAATGTGTACGATGTCCCAAATGAGTGATTTAACGGTAAAAATAAATCTTCATTTTTGCTCGTGTACAACACTGGTAGCATTTTTTAATCGAGTTGAATTGAGTTGACTTTTGGTAAGAGATTCCTACTTTTGACGATTAGGACCGTAATTATTTTTAAAACAACTGTAGGCTATTTTATTTGCCGGCGAGAATGACTTAAAATAGAATACAATTGTATTAAAAACAGTGACGGTCCTAATAGTCAGTAGGATTACATAAATCTAAAAAACGTAGGTAGGAATTTAAGAACAAAGAACATTACAAAAATATTATATTTACTGAATATAATATATTTTCCGTACAGTCGACTGACAAAGTGGCCTTCCTCACACTGATTATAGCACAGAAAGTTGCTAATTCCTGTATCTAATTACTTTTGCCGCTCAGTTTTTTTCGTTAACCAGTATTCCAACCAAACAACACAAAAAATGCGTGCACAGATTAAGTAGGCATGTAATACGTGTACGCTTGGAAATAAGTTGGCAACACTTAAAAACTTATTACGACTACGATCAGCTGGTGCAGCGTTTCTCATTTCCTTCAATGTTTGGAGTTAACCTAATCAAAAACGTGTTTCACAGTGTTTGAAAGACTAATTATTTATATGCTTTTTAGTAACTGTAGGAGAAATATCATGTGTATCGCGAGTGCAAACTGCCTTTTCTGCACTCAGAAACGTTCCACACTCGCCTACGGCTCGTGCGTAAAAATTTCACCACTTCACCCACTAGGTACACAAATAACAATTTCAGGACAATATTTGCATTAACACGTGTATAACTTAATAACGTATAAAAGTTGTTTTGTTTTTTTAGAGTCAGGCTATGATTAACAGAATAAATTACATAATTAGTCCAATCACATTTGTATATTTTTTAAATGTGTAATCAATTGCAGATCGTACTGTATGCGGCTTTTGCACATTAACACTTTGGCTACAAATGGTGGTCGGCTTTTTATTGGTCCATTTCGGCAATCGTTGATGACATTTGCTTTACAGCACTGATAAGTTTTCAATTTGCAGTAAACCGAGTAATTTGATTTCCGGAAACAAAGAACGAACATGTCTTTCTTCATTAATGTTAAAATTCAGCAACTTATAGGATAAGAGTGTGTGCGTTCCTAGTTTTATACTTAAAATGTGACAGGGTAATTTAAAGTAATAAAGTATTTTTTTAGTTTTGAGTGTATGATCAAAAATTATTAGTATAATTTAAAGAAGTACAACGTATCACTGCCATTTCTTAAAACAAAATAACTTAAGTCACTATTTATTTATTTATTTAAATTAAAAGTATAACATATATAATTTCGTTTCAAATCAATTAAAAAATATATATATATAGAAAAAGAAGTAAAAATATTTTTACGTTTAAGATTATTGTTAGGATATTGGGAGAAATATTAGGTGTCCGTGATTGAAAAGATTGAAAATTAAATATAAACTCAAGTGTGGGAATGAGGAGAGGAATAAGAAGGAAGGAAGACAATGTGATTTTGTTAGCAAAGTGTTTCTCTTTAGAAGTAGGTAAGTGTAATTATTGTCTGTCAGAAGTATGGATATCTTCATAGCCAATTAAAAACTGCTAGATATGCAAACATATTTTACTTTTGAA